AATTTGCCCATTCAGCAGATCAGTTATCAATGTGGAGTAGAATGTGGCTGAAATGAAACTTGGGAAAGTTCCTGTGGGTCCCAGAGGCAGGCACAGCTGGAGCACAAGGGTTATGTGGGAGGAGAAACATAACATGATGAGGACAAGACTTCAAGGGCCTTTTGCTAGGTGTATTGAGCAGGGCAGAAGGCAGGCAGCTGTGTTATTCTTCTGTCTCAGAGAAAAGGAAACTTCCTCAGTTTAAGGAAATATTTCCACAACATCTCTTTGTTATTTGGTGCCAAAAATTTACTTAGGAAAGAGACAGCTACACAACTGCAATCCTCCTAGCTAAACCAAATCTCTGAATTCACAGATGATTCAAATAACTCTCCTATTATATAGTTCACATAAATAGTTCTGAGCCCTTGACTACTTCAGGCAACAAGACTTTACATGTCTAGAAGTCTGCTGTAGTGCAGATGTTTAAGTCAGTAGATGCCAGAAGTAAAAAGTATGGATTTTTAAAATAGCTTAATTTAATATTAACTAGATTAGGCACAACTTCATTTATTGTGAAAAATAATTTACTTTTGACCCATTTGCAAATTTAACTGAAACTTACTAATTAATTCAACCAACAAAAATCAAACATTGAGAAGCTGAAACATTTAATCTTAAAAAATGGTGGTGTTTTTTACTATTTTTTTAATAACAGTAACTTTTAAGACTCAATAAAAAACACGTCCAGAATTGGACTAAAAACAAAATTATACTTCTGTTGCAGATTTTATGAAATGTTTTGCTTAGTCTCAAATTTATGGTGAGTTATTTTTGCTTCACAAAGGAATTATTTTTATTCTTGTGTGAGGTCATTTCTTTCCCCTCTATCCCCCTAAACAAATAGATGAATGAAGAGAACAACTTGCAGAGCATTAGTGTTGTCTGATTTATCCATGTTGTTAAAACAGATAAGAGGGTATTGGATTTTAGTTTGGAAAGCACGGGAGTAGCTATTCAGCCTGCCCATATTCAGGATAGCACTTAGATCATGCTTATCTTAAAGCAAATGTTAAGGTCTCCTTGACTTCAAAGTGCCTCTTGAACACTGCCATCAGCTCTTGACATTGTATCAGTACCATAGGAACATTTGATGTCCTTTTTAAAGCTGCTGCAGGAAAAAGCAATCCCAGGAGCAACACCTTTGACTCAAGTGCTATTTTCCTAATGCATGCCCTTGGCTGGGCACTGCTTGGACCCTTGGCAAACCAAGCAACCTCAGTCCAGGAAATCAGTGGGAACTACAGCCATCTACATCTAAAGTGAGTATCAAATACTTTATTTTTAAATGACAGACTTTCTAATTGCATCTGTAATTCTGAGGGAAGGGTCTTACCCATGAATTCTGAAACACATTGTTTTCATTTTTGGGCCTTAACACTAGTCCTGCAGGGATAAGTTTCTTGAATGGGGCACAGTAACGTCCCCCTTGGTTTCTGTAAGGGCAGAGTAGTAGTAAGGTTTCATTATATACTGGTCAACAGTCTAAATTTAAATGTTTGGAGGAGAAAACCTGTTTCTGACTTTGCAGGCTGCTTGTCATGATGGCATTACCTTAAGGCTCACTTTTAAATTAAGAAATTCTGACTGTGAAGCTAAGTAATGTTTCAAACAATCATATATATAACTGTAACTAAAGACCTACATATATGCAAAATTAAGTCCAAGTTTCAAACTCCATTATATTAATACATATATTTTGAATTAAATATAATTTCAGCAATTCTATAAATCCTTTTGAAAGGATCTGTTGCTTGTTGATTTTGCACCATGTGAAGCCATGGTAAATATGACATGTAGTCTCATCACATTTCTGTATTTCGAATAAGCAAGTTCTGCTCCAGGGAGATGCTTAATCCATTCTTTCCTTCTGAGGATGAAAAGAATTAAACTCAGTGCACTGATCTCACAGTATGTGTTCATTTCACTTTAATTATAAAATTACTATTTCAACATTTTTTCCTGTAAAATAAACTGAGCCTGAGCTCCATGAGCTCCATGAGCTCCATGAGCCTGAGCTACATTACTTCTCTGTGCACTCAGTCATTGCTCATCAATACTGCGCTTTCAATACAGTTTCGCATGGAAAGATAAAAACCACCTCTTGGGGTTTACAGTTGGTATAGCAGTTTCAGGTCTCACAGCAACAAAAGCTTCACTTTTTGATGGCTGGCCAAAAGGATGGAGCAGTGGAGTCCTTTAAAGTGAATTCAAATGTCACGAGAAGGAACTTTAACCAGACACAGGGAGATGCCGTGATCTCATACCAAGCTGGAAGATTTACAGCACACATCCTGTATATATATTTTCACTAGTGTTTTTTCCACAGATTGTTCAAACCTGTGCAAGCTCTGCATAAAATCAATTACCTTGCTAAAATCCAGAAGTTTTCTCTTGGTTGATTCAACAGGCAGAGCATTTCCTGGAAATAGGACATCTGCTGTCCACATCTAAGGAATGACAGAGCATCAAGTGGAATAGACAGCTATACTGTCAAAGATACTTCCATGCTTCAAGCTTAAAAACCCAGCAGTTCAGGAATGTGATGTTTTATCAGGCATACCATCTGGGTGGAATAGAAATGAATACTTTCCATACAGGGTAAGCTCTCCATGGAAGGATTACTGACAGTAACTCCAGCTGACATGTTTCCATCCAGGTCCAGAAGAATTTATTAGGTTCATTGCATCATACCTTTCAATTCAAAAGCTATTTGGAGCTGACCTACATACTGCCAGAACTGTGATCCTGCTCCCAAGCAAAAGCAACTGTACTACTTGTGGCCTCATACTAGTTAATACAACTAGTACACCTCCTATTGCCAAACCGAGCCGGCTAGCTGGGATGCTTCTGCATCTATGTCAAGACTAATCCATAATGTGAATAAAATGTCTGCAGGCAAGCAAGAATAGAAGCTATTTACAAGGTGGTATCTTACATATAAAATGTAGAGTCAAATTTTCTCAGCATCCAAGTGATATAAATTTTTACAGGTTATTTTCAGAAACTTCAGTCAACTCCTAAATCTTCAAGTTAATTCTCAAAATACTACTTAGTTTTGCAAAGCCATTTATGTATTCAAACCCACAACATCCACTGTGTTATAATGAGAATTTGTCAGGACATGAAAAAGTTTTAATTTTTATTTCTTTAAATATCCAACCAGCTCAAGCTCATTTATCCTTTGGAGCTCCTAAGGTCTAGAGATGCAACAAGGCATTCAGATGAATGTCAACACCATATTAAAAGCTGAAGAACATACATAAGCTTAGACAGTTTTTTTCAGAACACCTGAAATACAGTAAAGCACATCTCAGCATTATCTCTCTGAATAAACTCTGACTAATAGTAAAAATTCATCTGCAATGCTCTCAGAAACTCCAGAATATACCATAATATTGTAAAAAAAGCAAAATAAATGGTCATTAGCCATGAAGACTACTCAACACCTAAAATTCCTAATCTTACCAAATGTTCTAAAGAAAAATTGTACTGGTTCAGTTTTCATCAAAACTTCTCTTTAAAGAACAGTAGTGAAAATCATCAGTAGTTCTCAAAATGTCATGTGAAACCACAAACTTCTGTCTGTACTCAGATATTAGCATATATGTTTTCCAAAATACAGTAACTACACCATAAAGAATAATTACTAAGTTTACAGAAAAAAAAAAATCAAAAGATTGAACACTTCCAAGGTCATAAATATTACTGACCTATGAGCTAAAGCATTACTCAAAAAGGTACCAGGTTCTAATTCACTCTGAAGAACAATGAATATTGATTTGTATTGACTTGGATTAGAAAAAAACTTGGTTGATGTTGTATAATTAAATATTTTCTCATAACAATAACTGGACAGTGGAGACTGTAGTCACGTCATTTCACAGTGGTTATGATATGCATGATTCTACTATAAAATAAAAATCTTTAATTCACTAGGATGTTTTCAACAATGAACAAAAATGTTCATTATAACCAACAGTCAATCAGCCAGCTTGGTCTCTCTCACACATAGAAACATGCAGACAAAGCATTCACAAAACATACTTTGGCTGTTCACAATAGCTATTGGGATGAGATCTGAGCCGAGCAGTGATAAAGGTCTGAGCTCCTTCCCCCATCCACAGACACCCTGTAAGTTGTGTGTCTTTGTTCAACAATAAGGCCAAGGAGCGCAGGTAGTGTTAACATTAGTCATTAAGTCATGACCTTACAGTTTCTGATTTCTATTGCAATGCATCTTCCCTTCAAGTCAGAGGTTACTGTGCTTGAGGTGAGACTGGCAACATCAGTAATTCCACCTGTGTGCAACCCTTCTCAGTGTTCGTTTGTTTTCATTAAAAGTTCTGCAAAATATTACTTGAATTGAAAATCCCTTTAGATTTCTGCACAACATGCATATAAAGCTTGTTTTCCATGGGCATACTTTGCAGACTTGTTTGAAGTAAATAAAAGAGACAGAGGTTCAAAGATCACTTATTTTAACCATTTATCTAATGGTCCAGCTTTGTGCAATGTGACAACACAAAAGACAAGGATGGGCATAGGTGTGGCAGAAAAGTTCATGAAGACGAGAACCCTGGCAGAGTGCTGCCCTGTTAGATTTCTGAGCCTGGCCAATCAGTAGTAGAAAATATGGGCCAATCTCCCTACACAATCGAAACCAGATATCAAAGAACAGATTTCATAGGGCCTGAAAATACATGGGTCTCTGATGAAAAGGTTGTTGTGCTCAATGTCTCAAATCTGCTGCAAAAGACAGATACAGGGATGTTCTTCACAGCAAAAGCTTGAGGTAACCTAATTGTGGGAACATCTTACAGCTCCTATGGAACCTTCTTTATAAAGTTGCTTGGTAGCAACTGTAATTCATTTGCTTTTTATAACTAATTGAATTTTGATTAGTATCACCTTGTTGTTCAAAACAAGTTAGATGTTATAAAAAGCAAAGCAAGTCTTACCTGGAATACTCTGTCTCCTCACAGACAGTGCTCCATCAGGTGCCTTTGCCTGGTTTGCAGATTTTGTGTAAGGACTCTCATCTAAACAGAAACAAGCAACATTTCCAGTTACTGTTAAATATAATGTTAAAAACAACATAATTTTTACCCAAATACTGTGTGAACTAGCAATGCAGATCACAAGAGCTGCTGTGAGCAGGATGGGTATTTTTGAATGCTGACTCAATGCTCAATGCCATGTTTAGACTCAATGACAAAGGCTCTGAATAGGAGAGCTGAAAAAGATGTGCTAAAACTGAAATTGGAGATAATACATATTGATGATAGGCCTGATGTACATAGGCCTTTTCAGTTATAACATAATGATAGAAATTTCCCTTTTCTCATGTTAAGAAGGTTCACATGCCAAGGACTTGAGTGAGAGAGGTACTATCCCCGTTCAGGAGTGAAAGGCTTCCAGAAGGTTTTGAATATTCTGGCTGTAAAGATGCACTCCTTTTCCTTTGGGATCTGTTAGTGGGTGGTTCCTTTTCTGTTGTAATGATTGATTGGGGAAAACATCAGAAAGCTGTTGCCAAATAGGCCAGGCACATTTGTGCCTAAAGATCACCACTGTAACTGTTTGTGTCTAAATAGGAAGCTATGTGGAACACCTACTGATCAACTTCAGTGCATAAAAGACCACTAACGATGGAATAAGCAGATGAGTCATCAATTAGAGACAGCATTAGGCAGAAAGTGAGTCACTTCTTCATCCCTCTTAAGAGCAGGACGACCACAGGGAAAAAAATTAACTATATCATAGCTTTGAAAAGAACAAGCTATAAGTGCAAGACAGAAATGTGAATAAAAGAGAAGATATAGTATTATGCATTTTATTATTTCAATCAAACAAAAGTAATCAGAAGAAATTAGGCTTCTGTCTTGCTTTCCCTTTAATTGAGTGCTCAAAGACTTTAAAGTGTCATCAAATCCTTCTGTTGGCATATTTTCCTTCAGCTTGCAAAGGACCGATGCGTTTACAGCATGTGCAAAAATACCTGCTTAAATACTGATCAACGAGCAGAGGAATCAAAGATTACATTATCTAATATAGCATCCTCAGATCAAGTAGAACCATATAAACTTTCTGGAGAATCAGTTTTTCTTTTCAGATGACACTCTTGGCATTATGATCCTTCTTTGCCAATTGCGCTCTTTACATCTTGCAAGGTCTCAAACTCCTTTAGAAACTTGCATCAAAGACAGCAGTCCATTTTTATACCAGTGAGATAAGGGTTTGCTCAGCATAATTTAATTTACATCCAGGTCTCAAAGAAGTGACTGGAAGAGCTGGTTAGCTTTTAATCCCAGAACTCTTGTAATGAACTCTGCTACTGTTAGGCAGATGCAACAATAAAAAAGCTTAAATAAATAACCAAAAACCCCCCAGACCCCTAAAAAACCACACCAAAACAAAAACCACACACACATACACACACACACAAAAACCCCCAAACCAAACCAAAACAGGTTTGTAGTCATGAACCTTGGCGAAAATGCAGCAAGTAGTGAGGAACACATATTGATAAAATATCTCACCAGCCAATATAATTGTTCTTTCTACAGTAAAATGAACTCCCATTGCTTTAGGATACAGTGTTACAAGAGGAAAGGTAACAGGTTTGACTATACTGCAAGCTAGTACAAACTCCAAGAAAATAAGGTTGCCAGCTGCAGAAAATCTAGAGAAGCACTGGAAAAATATCAACACAGATGCAGGTACACAATTAAAGAAGAAGGTATGTAAAGCCCTAGCCTTCTATTTGAAGAAAGTGGAAAAGCTAATATCATTGCATATGCAGAATACACATCCCCTCATTAAAGAAAAAAAAAATACAATAAGAATGAACTAAGGCTTCTGAAGGAAGTACCATTATTTTCTTTCTTTCACAGAAGAGGCACCACTGAACTCAAACTCAAGACAACACTCAAGACAAAGAAATTGAGCTCATCAATAACATGTGGCTTATATGTCCCATCCATTATTACTTAGTTGCAGGTGCTGACTGTGATAGTAGATAGTGTGAGACACATTTTTCTATTAAAAAGTGGGCAGGAAACATAATACAATTTCTCAAGAATCAATTCATAGTGATGACTTCTGGGCCCTATTTGAATATATGCCCTATCTATGAAACATATGTCAATTTACAGAACAAAACAGTCCTATCCTAGTCAGACTTTTTACATACAAATTATTTTCATTACATTGGAGAGATATGAAAAAAGGAAAGAAGAAAAAAGGAAAGAAGAATTTTCACTGCTACATCTTTTTCATTGAAGCTTTGTCACTGAGCAAATGAGTACCTCAGCTCCACTCTCATGCTGAAAGATATTTTCCCAATATTGCACTGAACTGGGAGTACTTGCGGTTATCTTGAGTTCAGAACACAGCACAAGCCTGCAAGTCTTTCTGCTCAACAACAACCAACGAGGGGAGAGGAGTGCACATTCAAATACTTACTAGGGAGCCTGAGCAAAAATTCTAGTGTTTTCTACACAACAACCGGCAGATATGAAAGTCAACTGAGACTGCACAGGTAAACTAGTATTTTAATTGAAGCCTATTAACATCAAAAATTCATCAGATGCTTATATGGGTTAGGTACTGTGGGCATGTAATTGTGTTACTATTCTTAATCTGTCCACAAATTTTCATAGCAAAACAACAGGCCCAAAAAGTTGCTTCATAAACTTCTGAACCCCTGTTAGTCTAAAATGTGCCCAATTATTATCGGGAAAGAACAATGAGCCATTGTATCATCGGTGGCCTGGAAAGGGGTTCCCAGAACTGCAAGGAATTTTCTTCCAATGCCCATTTAACAGTAAAACCACACTGCAACATAACTAGAAGTCAGTGTAAAGGATTCCCAGAAGCAAAGGAAAACAAATATAACCAACTGGAGAAAGAATGCTTATTGAACCTTACTGAGATGCTTAATTGAGACAGGAAAGTAATATAAAGACCAGACAGATACAAAAACAGACACAGTAACTAAAAACCGTGATAACCCTGAAATGTCATGATGTCATTCATGCTGCCCAAAAAGGGAGTCTGTTTGTACACATTAACAAAGCTGTGTGGCCACATGAATTTATTATCAAATCATGATTTCTTGATGCCCTCATCCACTCTATAGTTATCAGAGAGGGCCGTAAAACATGCAAAAATGTCTCACGACAGCAGTGCCTAGGGGGGAATTTGTATGAGTGTTTTGTTATTACCAGCTTCCCCTTCTACAGCACTGACAGACTTGGAGATGAAACCCAGTTGAGCAAGCCAACACACTGAAAAAGGAAAGGAGCAGATGGGTATGAAGCATTCTCCCTGCAAACAGAAGACAGGCAAAATTGTGATGTATTTTAAGAAGCCACACATACAAAGCAGAGGGAGAAAGAGGCTAGCTTCAGAAGCATCAATCTCAGCTGGTTACATGCCTAGTACTAACATATCATCAGCACGGAGCAAGCCACAGCCCATAAAGAATTCACAGGCCAAACTGTGTCAACCTGGAGTACACAAACACCTTCACCTGGAACACACAGCCACAAACCCTGCTGCTCGGAGCAGCTCTTGCCCACTTCTGAAGGAATCGCACCACAGGTGACCACATTCCCTACAGTAGAACTGTCTTAGCTAAACCTGTAAACTCATACAGCTGCATTTCTTACATCACTGGCTTTCTTTTCCCCTTGTAATCTCCTCTGGCTAAGAAATTAGACAACCCAGGGTAGACAATTTCTAGCAAGTCAGTAGGTCATATAAAGGTGACTGCTATGCCAGCAGGTCTCTTTATTCAGTGACTACAGGAAACCAAACCTCTTACCCTGTTAACTGGCAGGGGTCATTCCCTACCCCCAAATTCATACTTTGCATGTTTCTTAAAGTTGTAAATGTGCAATAGTGAACCAGATGTACATTGTGTTAATTCACTTCTTCCTGGCAGAAAACAATGATCATTTAAGAGGTGACACCTTGCAGATTACTGAGATTCTCAACCAGCAAAGCAAAATGACCTTCTTGACTTCTCCTTTTACTTGTCCTCATGAAACAGCCCCAAACACCAGTAACAGTAGCTTGCACATCATCCTTTCAATGCCCTGCAAACAATTCTTCTCATTAAAGACTGCAAAGATAATAATCAAGTGGACAAGCAAGTACTGCTACTGCTTACAGCTATTACTGTAGGCTTATTGCCTTTAGCTATTGCTTCTGAGGTAGATAAACAGCTTTTTGCACTTCCCTGACTATTTTTAACCTGGTGGCATCTCTATACTGTAACTGAACGATTTATTCTTTGAGTTAGAAACCATGTTGTGACCCATTTATATCATTCTGCATTGCTCTTACTATGGGGCAAGCCCCTGTCCAAAACTAAGGGGTCTATAGACTGCAAAAAACAAACAGTAATGTAACCCTATAAAGATTATACACTGGACAATGTGTACAAATACATATGAAGTGCTTGGTACTGTGTCAGCAAAATGACCATATGAAATATTTAGATCCTTACTGTATTCAGTTTAATATCCTTTGAAGGATACCAACTGGGGGCACATAACAGGGAATAAAAGGAAAGCCTAAAGATGCTTCCTCAACAGCCAAGTCTAGACACTGAACATTTCAGGCAGCTTATGGCCACTGAACCATTTCTATGTCTCTCTTGGGGGTTGTAAAAGCTATTGACATGAGGATGTTGTTTTCAGATGTGGTAAAGCCTAAGGGCACTCCCTCCTTCAGGTCTTAAGAACAAGTTCTTCTTCACTGCTGTTGCCACATGTCCATGCGATGGACTACTGAACCCAGTAAATGTGTCCAAATCCTGTGCAGCACCAGGTGGCCCCAGAAGATGACTAAGCACAGCTGCAGTCCTGTTGGATAAGAAGGGGAAGCTTCTTCCCACCCCATTGGGAACAGCTGCTGAACAACTCAGAGGCTGCCACTTTGCCCTTCCTACATGGAGAGGAAATGTGAAGATGCTTCACTGTCGTACCTTTGCCTCCCACACAATTGCTCATCCTCAGCTCTGTATCACCAC